TTGAGCCTGATTCTCTGTTTATTGCCACACTCTCTTCTTTACCGAACCTTCTTTTCCTCCTATTCCATTAATCAAAATTCAGTCTAAAGAGAGTCTTCTCTGATTCACTGATTCTAGGGAATTATGGCAGAGACCATCGTCCCAAGTTGTTATTCTCCCTCTCTTCTTTCAATAGTAGAATGCCAGATTTAAAAAAAATTTTTTTAATTGAGATATAATTCGCATATCATACAATTCATCATTTTGAAGTATACCATTCAATGTTTTTTTTTTTAATGCATTCACAAGGCTGTATGATCGTCACTACTAACTCCAGATTATTTCATCACCCCAGAATAAACCCCACACCTAGCAGTTCCTCCCCATTCCCTCCTCCCCCCTGCCTCCCTGGCTACTGTTCACCCACTTCCAGTCTCTGCTGATTTCTCTATTATGGACATTCCATGTACTTGGAGTCGTATGACACGTGGCTTTTTGTGTCTGGTTTCTCTTATTTAGCATATTGTTTTCAAGATTTAACCACACTGCACTTCACTCTTTTTTTATGGCCAGATAATAATAATAGTGTTCCATTGCATGGCTATACCATAATACCATATTTTGTTTACCCATCTGTAGTTGACGGACATTTGGGTTGTTTCCCACTGTTTGGCTGTTACGAATAATGCTGCTACAAACCTCCAGGTACAAGTTTTTCCGCGGACAGATGTTTTTAGTCTCTTGGGTGGACACTAGGAGGGCCTTGCTGGGTCATGTGATGACTTTATGTTTCACAATTTGAAGAGCTGCTCAACTATTTTCCGCACTGATTGCTCCATTGTACGTTCCCATCAGCAGAATATGAGGAGAAACCTTGGTTTTTAACTGGGCATACGGAGCCTAGAAAAAGGTCAACTTTCCAGCTTCCCTTGCAGTTAGGTACGGCCATACTACAATTAAGTCCTGGCTTGTGGGATGCGATGTGAGCAGAAGTGGTATGTGGGTGGAAACATGTCCTCTGTTGCTCTGTCCAACCTGCTAGTTGGAAAGCTGACTTAGTGACAGGAGAGCCAGCAGCCATCCTGGATCATGGGATGGGACCGTGGGATGATTTTGGGAAGGGAAGCTGGAACAAGATTAGGAGGAATCTGGAGGCCGTACTAGGCCTGGACTGACCACCTGTGGACTTCTTAAATACGGAAGAGAGAACTTCCGTTGTGTTTAACACACTATTATTTTTTTTCCTGATTAGTTACAGGCAAATCGAACCTTAACTGATGCCATTACTGAATTCCTTCAGTCACTGAGCAAATTATCACTGAAAGCCAATTGAATGTCAGGTTCTGAGCTTGGAGTTAAAGAAATAAAGATGCATGAAGTGAACTTGTAATTTAGGGTCTCACAGTTAAGTGGGGAGAGAGGCAGGTAAATAAATAAGATGATGGGACAAGTGCTACTAAAAGCGTGTACCAAGTCTCATGGGCAGACGGAGGAAAGACAGGCAGAATCGGCATAAGGCAACTCAGAGAAGGTCTTCGTTTAGCCTACCTACAGGCCCACATTGGCGTTTCCAAATTCCAGAAATCAGAATTCCTGGGAAATCTCAGAAATTCCTAATATCATAAGCTATTCCTAACATATTCCTGGTATTATAGGCTCTTTCCTCACTATTATGGCTACCCACAATTGTTCAACACATAAGAAAAATTAAGTCGGGTGGTATTCATGAAGAACCATCATCGCCTCTAGTCATTATACAAACACTGGGAGCCAGCAGGGAACGTTCCTGGGTGATACTTGAGTAACGTATCACTGATCTCCTCTAACAAGGCTAACAGCACTCCACTGCAGCTTGTGTCAACATTGTCAATTCTAGGATGCACTTCCTCTTCCAGGATTTGTTATTTCTTGGAACGCCGCTCAAAAGATTCATATACAGTATACTATATGTATAAACTTACTAATATTTATTTTCCTTCCAAGGATGACGCAGCAGCAGCAGCAGTGGACAGAGAGGCAGACAGACATGGCACCAGCTCCGAGCAAGATGGACTGAAAAGTGGCAGTCACTCTGCTGGCCCATGCTCCCCCCCCCCCCCGATTCCCAGAAATGTCAACGGTAGCCTTCTACCACGTGCTCCCTTGTGGCCCGTGCCTCTCCTAACAGCATGCTCATCTCTCTTTTTATTTTAATGTTTATTTTTGAGAGAGAGAGAGAGAAAGAGAGCAAGCAGGGGAGGGGCAGAGAGAGAGAGAGAGAGAGAGAGAGAGAGAGACAGAATCCGAAGCAGGCTCCAGGCTCCGAGCTGTCAGCACAGAGTCCAACACAGGGCTCAAACTCACCGACCACAAGATCATGAGCTGAGCCAAAGTCAGACACCTATCCGACCGAGCCACCCAGGCGCCCCAACCCTCGCAATAGTTTAATAGGGACAGAAACTTTTACATGAGACATTTAAAATTGTTCTCATGTTTGCATAAAAATTCCTCTTACATAGTTTTTCAAGGATTATCTGTTGAAAAGGAGGATACTTGGCTTCAGAATTTAAATGAGAGGCATAATAACGACAGTAAAATAAGTGGGAGACACAGTGTTTAATATTGAGCCGTCTATATTTAATGAATGATTAGTTGAACTAATGACAATGAATTAACACTTTGCAAATGTGTTGTATTCCCAGAGTTTGTTTTGTAACTCAGTTGTTTTGAATTTGGGATGCATTCTCCCATAGAAACAATATTATAAATGATGCTTAAGGGTCAAGAAATCCCACTAAGGCTGTTTACCCATAATGCAGCAATAAAATGTAAGAAAGTAATGGCATTGTGTAAGAATGCTTAAACATTTTTGAATACAGGTGTTTGAGGAAAAGTGACTTTAATTAGGAGAGAGAGGAGATGGCACATGAAAAATAGCGTAGTGATTCCCAAAGGGATTTCTGAGCCCTTTCAAGGATCATGGAGGGCATTGTGACTTTTTTGACATCTATTTTCATATTGAAATATATGCATTTCTGGGGCGCCTGGGTGGCTCAGTCAGTTAAGCTTCCAACTTCGGCTCAGGTCATGATCTCACAGCTTGTGGGTTCAAACCCCTCATTAGGCTCTGTGCTGACAGCTTAGAGCCTGGAGCCGCCTTCAGATTCTGTGCCTCCCTCTCTCTCTGCCCCTCCCCCATTCACGCTATGTCTCTGTCTCTCAAAAATAAACAAACATTAAAAAATTAAAATGTATGCATTTTTTTCTCCTGGTACAATCTTATACTATTCTTATCATCAGCAGGATCATTATCGTTTGCCTGGTAGGCAATTGATAACTGTTTTGTTTTCAATTGGCTGGAAGGGATGAAACAACACAAGATGGAAGGCTGGGGGAAATTTCTCTTAAGTAACTGGAGGGGCGCCTGGGTGGCTCAGTCGGTTAAGCGGCCAACTTCGGCTCAGGTCATAATCTCGAGGTCCGTGAGTTCGAGCCCTGCGTCAGCCTCTGTGCTGACAGCTCAGAGCCTGGAGCCTGTTTCAGATTCTGAGTCTCCCTCTCTCTGACCCTCCCCTGTTCATGCTCTCTGTCTCAAAAATAAACGTTAAAAAAAAAAGTAATTGGAAAAGAGTTGTAAGAGATGAACATGTCATAACCAGCAAACAAGTATTTATCACATGTATCAGTATTCAGATTAAAAAAAAAAAAAGATGATGTGCTATGCTCTTGAGAGGTTTTCTATTCACACAGGGAGATCTACACGGAGAAAGAAAAAGCACCACCTGGTAAGACGCCTTGGGTGTCAATGAAGGAGAGGGCTGTTCAGAGTAGGGAGTGATCTTTGGGGCCAGGGAGGAGGAAAGAAGAGCTTGAATCTGGCCTTTGGAAGAGGATTTCAGTCAGGAGAGGGCTGGGAGAGCGCACGAGGTGAAATTAACTGAACGGTACTTGACAGAAAATCTAGGGAAAGGAAGAGACATGGTTTGAACATGTTACCTAAGGAGAAAGAATACGGTGGGGAAACGGATGCTGGATGATTTCCCCCATGGAAGCTGTACAACGGCTCAGGAAAAGTTGGTGCTGGCTACAGCCAACTAGGAACAATGGCCTTAAAATCTCCAAGGGACCAGGCAGCACGCCATCAGAATTTCACAGGTGTTTGCAACTCAGGTTGTGCCTTAATATACCTGGGTGTTTCTATAGCATTTGTATAATTTTATCACACCCTGCCTGTTGTTTCTGGTAATGCGTTCTATTAGACAAACCCCACTGATAAAGAACTTCTGAAACCCTTGCCTTTGGGATAAGAAGACACCAAGTTCCGTTTGCCAGTACTCCCCATTGCTCCCCACTGCTTCTGTCTCTTCTTCCAATACCTTTCATTGTTGGACCCTGACCAAATCACTCATTCTCTGGGGCCCGCTTTCTTACCCTCCAAATGAGAATCGAACTATATTACCTATTCCTTCCAAGTCTAAAAACTAGATTATGAAATTTATGACAAATGGCTACTTCTGAAAAACACAGATGATTCCGTTATCCATTTTCTTCTCTAGAATTAGGGGACTCTGCGCTCAGAGCGGCTACGGGGCCAATGGGATTTATCTAGAAAAAAAGTGGCGTGGCAAGCAAGCGTAGGCTTTTTCCCTCCAGTAAAAAAGCGGCGAGAGTCGCCGCGGCAAAAATCTGTTCGCTCCTATCTCCTTCGATTCAAAAGTCTTCTGGGCAACCACAAGTAGATAAAACCCTATCGTTCCGCTCTCGAGGTGTCGTTTGGGGCGCTAACGACACGGACCAGCGTTAAGCATCCGGCTCCCTAACCGCAGACCTTAACACCAGCGGCCAGCACTGAGCAGCCGGACCCGCGCGAGGCTCTGCGGCTTCCCGTGAGCCGCGGTGCGGCGGAAGCGGGGCAGCCACACTTCCGGTGGCTCACTCATGCGCTCGCCACACTTCCTGTTGATTCAGCCCCGCCGAGGGTTGGGTTGGGTTGGGCTGGGAGGAGGGCCGGCGGGTGGGCGGGAGGCTGCGGGGGTGGCGGCCTGTGGCCAGGCGTGGGCGCGCGCGGGGCCGCGGCGGGCACGGAGCGTCAGCCTCGTCGCTTCAGTCCCGGGCACCCTCGGCGGCCGCGCCTCCCGCCCTGCGTCCTCCGGTCCGGCTCCGCGCCACCATGCCCGCGGTGGACAAGCTCCTGTTGGAGGAGGCGTTGCAGGACAGCCCCCAGGTACCTCCCGCCGCTCCGGTCACCTCGCCCGGGGGCCGGAGGCCCCTCAAGCCCCGGGATGAAGGCCTGGAGCACGCGGGGTGGGCCGGCCGGCCGGGAGGGGGCACCCCTCAGGCGGGGCTGGAGAACCCGGGAGAGCACCCCACGGCCGGAGTCTTTGTGGCGCGACCCCTTCCCAAAGTCAGCTGAAACTGACGCTGCCCGGCCTAAACTCCGGCTCCCCCGCTTCGCTGAGCGCCTCGGGCAGATAATTTAACCTTTTTGTGCTGCAGTTTTGTCATCTGTAACCCAGGGGTAATAATTGTATCCGCCTGGTAGAGTTGTCAGAATTAAGTAAGGGAAAGCCTGTCAGGTTGTTAGCGGGCAACGTCTGGTAGAAAAGAAGTAGTCAATCTTAGTTATTATTATCCCCGCTACTACCACTGATGGGATAGGTCCTGGTGGATTTAGGGCCAAGATGGGAGGCAGAGAGCCCAGATCTCTTTCTCAGCGGTACCCTTCGGCACAGTTTTCCCATTTGTCAAGAGAAAATGACAGCACCTGCCCTATTTGTGGCACGGGGGAACTTCATTAGCACGCTGGAGATGGAAGTTAAGTCCTTTGAGCTCTGCAGATGAAAGGGGCTGCGTAAATATGGCAGATGAGTGCAGAATGACATTAGTTTATAATCCAATGGGCTTCTCTTCAGGGAACTTTTGTTCCCCATTAGCATTTCCCCAGCTTCATAGCCGCTCTCCTGGTTCTGAGTTGTTTAAAGAAGTCTCTTTATGCCCAGGTGTCTCAACTCTTGAAAAATTCTTATATTAACCTGTTTTCCTTCTCTTTTCGGTTCCTTTCCTTTTTCTTAGCGGATTGAACTCCTGGTTCAATGACCTTTTGATGGACTTAGCTACACCCACTCTGCCTCTTGCCAGTTCAGAATAAGTAGTAAAAGGGCTACGTGCTTAGTTTTCTTCTGCCCCCGCCCTTTTTTTTTTGATCTTTAGGTAGGCAAGTGAGAAACTTGATCAAGCTGTGACTTTTTTTTTTTAATTGGCATCCGCTGGTCTGATTGACTTTTCAAAGGGCTCTTTGAAGGCTTCAGACTGGTGGCATTTTAATGGGACCAAAGCTCTTTGGAGAAGTCATTTTGTGCATCCTCACACATAGTGTGAGATGTGAAGATAGTAAGGTAGAATTTAGGATTTCCATTTGCTTTGTAGTTGGAGAAACTGAGTGCAAAGATCTCTTGCTTTCCTAACTGATCATGGTGATGGGCTGAGCCAGGTCAGAGAGGTTGTACTAACTGACTCTCCATGTTGCTGGTAAGTCACATGCTGCATTTTTGCCTCTCGCATAAGTGAACAGGCACAATTTCTGAGTCGTTTACAGGGTTTGCTCAGCAGTGAGGCAAGCAAGTCAGGAAACCTGGGTCCTGATTCTTGCTCTCCCACTGACTCGTCATGTGACTGGGGCATGTCAGCCATCTCCACCCTGTGACTGAGTCCGTTTTCTCATCTGCAGAATGAGGGACCTGGAGCAGATGACCTCTAAGGGGCTTTCGAAGCTTAAAATTCTATCATAGTGCATGGTTTATAACTTTGAGCTTGTTATGTGAAAGAGGAGGTTGTGTGGCATTGCCCTTCCTATGTGCTGTTCCTCTTCACGTGGGGAAGTTGCTACTGCCTTTGGGAGTTGGGTGTAACCCTGCTGGGGTCCTTCACGAGGTTGTTCAGTGGAAGCTAACTTTCAAGAAGGTCTTTGATACTCATCAGAATATATTTAGCAGTCTTACAGGGGGCATGTGCCTAAAGCGGCCTTTCTTCCAAGGAGGCTCATCGATTTGGAACTGGAGAGAAGCTAATCAGAGTCCTTCATTTTATGTGTGCAGAGGAAAAACAGTAACAAATCCCTATGTGACGCATGCATTTTGTGTGCTAGGCACCATTCTAAATCCTTCACCTGTATTAATTCACTTCATGTTCCCGACAGTCTTTTGAAGTAGTAGGCTTCCTATTAAAAGTACCAAGGAGCAGAGAAGTTAAATAACTTGCCCTAGATTATACACGCTGCAGCGGCCGAGCCAGGATTGGAACCAGGGAGTCTGAGTATATTGTTCAAGTTGACCCAGCTACCTGGCACCTGGATTTTCTGTCATCAGTGACCTAAAATGTTTTTCCGCTGAAAGGAGAAGGTCCTGAGAAACCATCTATCGTTTGTTTGTTCTAGTTTTCTGAAGAGTAGTTATGAGGGTTGCCACAGCAGCCTGTGCAGGATTGATTAGTGAACACAAAAGCTTTTGTATTTGAACTCAGTGACCCAAGAAGAGCTGAATAGCAGTTGACCTCCCTTAGACACATCTATTCATTTCCTCCTTTTTAGTTCTGCGGGGTGTATTGTAAGACCCCGTCTGTGCACACACACGTTATTTCTAGTTACATCTGATATGTGAGATGCACAGTGTTTCAGGGACTAACATACTTGTCTCCATGGCCGATTACGAGCCTCTGCTCCTTGCCAGGCTCTGCTAGATGCCGGGAATATAGTGACATGGTGAGAATGCCTGCCCGCCACTGGTGCACAGTCTGTTCCGGGAGACAGATAAGGACTGATGCGGGCAGCTGCAGCCCCCAGGGGCTTACTGTCTTTTGCGTGATAGCGAGCTTTTGAGATAAGGTGCAGACAAAGGCACTATTGCTCGCTGTTTTCTTGATTTTTGTTTGTTTGTTTCCTTTGCCCTTGGCACAACTGAAGCCCAGAGAAATTAAAGACTTAGTTCTGAGCTTATGCAGTGAGTGGCCCAACTGGGAACGGCCGTCCTTGACCAAGCCAGGCTTTTCTTTCCTCAAGCAAGATTCCTCAAAACAGCCTGTGGTTACGTCTTCTTTGTGAAGAACAATGCATGTATTTTACAATCAGAGTTATTAAGGCTGTGCCGTTATATAATCAGATACTATTCTGGAGAGTAAACCATGTCTGGGACTCTTTTATTAGGGAACAGCCAGTTTCTTTAAGATGGAGGGGTGATGTGGAGCTGAGGCTGTATCCTTGGGGTGTCTGATTTGGTTTTTCTGGCTGGACATACTCTTAAGGGTGCAGAGTAGGAGAGAAAGGATGGGATTGAAATCCTGATTCTGCCACTGTTACGTTATGCAGGTTACTCAGCCTCTCTGAGCTTGTGTTTTGACATGTGTAAAATTAGAATAAAAGTAATTACTGAATGGGATTCTTATGAATAAATAACGCGCTAAAGTTATTTATGCCTGCTTGTCGTAGTCACGCCATAAATGATTGCTGGTATCTTTATAAGTGACATGCACCATCGTCTTTCAGACTTTTAAGTAGAGTCTTTGATGTCTGATGTACCTGTGCCTGGTGCTTGGTCTCATTCCTTATGACTAAGAACAGTCCTGTTGTTCCAGATATAAATTTAAGCAGATATGGAGCTGATAATGTGGATATCAAAACCGTGCCTAAGATAGCTGGGTGTATTTTTCAGCTGTGACCATGACCTAGTTAAATTAGAAACACTGGATTTTTCTTGCCAGTGTTAATGGGGGTCATGGTAAACATGTCCAGAGTGTAAGGAAACAAAACAAAACTCTTCTGATACAAGTCTTTAGCAGTTATTATAGGTGAGAGCGTGGCAGTAGGATGACCAACGGGAAGCCAGCTCCAGGCAGGAAGGACTTGGGCTGTGGACCACAGAGCATGCCTACTGGTAAAGCTCAGCCTGCTGGGTGACAGGTACAGCCTCCTGCGGTGGAGGAAGCATGGCCATCGGTGCCAGACAAACCTGGATTTACATCCCAGCCCTGCTGCTTCCCCACCACGGGAGGTTGAGCAAGTTTCTTAACCTTGATGAGCCTCAGTTTTATCGTCTGTGAAAGGGGTTATGTATCCATGGTATCTGTCTCCTAAAGTTGTTGGAAGGATTCAGTGAAATAACAAATATTTAATGCCCACCACAGTGTCTCACACCTAGGAGGTACAGAGTAAAGGAGTTTTCGTTTTTTTTCCTGTTCTCTTTGTGGAGGACATTTACACAAGCCTTCTCTTTTCATCTTACCTATCGTTTTCCACTCAATTTTATTCCTAAGAGTTTTGAAAACAAGGAGTAGGACTTGACTAAATGGATATTTGTAGTATTTTAAAAAATTAAATATCCTCAATCCAGTTGTATCATTCTTCTCAATATCCTAGACATGGTAGGTACAGCGAAGAAAGATACCAGGATCATAATAGACATGGGTGAGTTCCTACAGCATTGACACATTGACTACAAAAAGGTGAAAAGGTCCTTCACTCTTAGATAACATTTATAGATAACCATTGCTGTGGTGTTAAAGTGAAATCACACACAGACCCGTGCTCCTTTCCTTTCCGAGTCTCCCAGAGGCTTCATCTGTAGCTGCTCTCGGTATCTTCAGCAAACTCTGCTCTCAGTTAACAAAATGAAATCCTACGTGTAAAGCCTTTATTATCTTTAGTAAGTAATCAGTGCTCATTATCGTCATAATCAGTGTCATCTGCTGTCACTATAGGTCACACAGTAGTAGGCACTTTATGTACATTCATGATCTCAGTAACCCTGCAAATTAGTGTCAGAGCTTGAATTTGGACTCAGCACTGACATGGTCCCCCAAGGTGCTCCCAGGTCCTTTGAGAGGTGCAGCGGGCTATAAGCTCCTGGAGAACATAGAGTCGATTCTAATCACCTTTGAATCCCAGTTCCCAGCACAATGTTTTGTCAGATATTAGATGAAGGCAGAGATGCATGCATCAATGAATGAATGCAGTCTTTTTTTATTTTCCAAAATAAAAATTATATTTATTTAATTTTAAGTTTTATTTATTTATTTTGAGAGAGAGAGCATGAGCAGGGGAGGGGGAGAGAGAGAGAGAGAAAGAGAGAATCTCAAGCAGGCTCTGTGCTGTCAGCGTGGAGCCTGATGTGGGGCTTGAACTCACCAACCTTGAGATCATGACCTGAGCTGAAACCAAGAGTTGGATGCTTAACTGACTGAGCCACCCAGGCGCCCCTGAAAAAAAGTATATTTTAAGAAGACAGAATGAAGAGTTCTAACCCAGTGTTTTTCACCTACTGGTTGACATCCATGAGTCAATTATGAGATCCAGTGAGTCACAATCATGATTTTTGTTTACAAATGGAATAGAATAGAAGAAATCAGCGCATATGCGTACTAATGACGAACATTGGTAAAATGTGTTGCGCACCATCGGTTTTCATTTTAAAAAGTTTGATGGACTCTGCTTTAGCACGCGAATTACACACTGTAGGAACTCTGATATTTTGCTGTCATTGAGAGCTTTTTAAAAACCTACCCGATGGGGCGCCTGGGTGGCGCAGTCGGTTAAGCATCCGACTTCAGCCAGGTCACGATCTCGCGGTCTGTGAGTTCGAGCCCCGCGTCAGGCTCTGGGCTGATGGCTCAGAGCCTGGAGCCTGTTTCCGATTCTGTGTCTCCCTCTCTCTCTGCCCCTCCTCCGTTCATGCTCTGTCTCTCTCTGTCCCAAAAATAAATAAAACGTTGAAAAAAAATTAAAAAACAAAAAAACCTATCCGACATCTTCCTTATTGCTCTGGTCCCTCTGTTAAAAAGGACTGATAGTAAAGAGAGTATACTGGTCTCAGAGCAGGTATTTTTAGCCTTAAAGGCCTCAGGCAAAGCCAGGACAAGTGTGTGTTACTGTGAAGTGTACCAGAGTTTGTGGAACAAGATCAAGGGTAGACTGAACCACCCAAACGCCCAGATAATTGAGGGTGCTTGGAGGCCGGTTATTGCTCTCTTACCTGAGCTGAGAAAAAGAAGGAATTGAAATTCATTTTGCAGGGAAATAATGAGCCTTAAGAGGGTATTCTTTGTAACGTGCTTTGATACCATCTTATTAAAAGCATTTCTGTAACTCACTGTTCGTTCTGTGCCTCATGGGTTATTCTCAGAGATTCCATTATCCCTGGCATAATATTTTAAATTCCCACTGCGCTGGACACAGTAAGTAAAGTCCCCTGAGTAGATATAGTCACTTATGTGACACCTTGATACTTCTTTAGATGCCATCAATATGTAAATATTTCTTCAGAGTTCGCCATGTGTCGGGCTCTGTGCATAAGAACGATAGGAAATGCAGTGGTTTAGTCTTCGTAAAGGGAACTGAGTTCACGTTCTTGTTAAGTTGCTGTCTCGGTGTTGTGCCCAGATCTGCTGGTGGACCCAGGGTAGATCTGGAAATTTCCTGGCTATGAGTTTTAAATTGGTTGAATAAAAGACGACAAAAGACATGAAAATTGACCATAGTTTCTGAAGAGGAAAGAATGACACACTCCTGCAAGATGTCCAAGACTGCAGAAAACCAGACAGATGGCTAGCTGTTGGGGTGGTATACTGCTGGGCGTCCACACCCCAGGTAAACACGCAGGCCTGACGTTGTGTTCAGTTTATGGGCTGGAAAGGAGAGGCTGCCTTTTTACCTCTTTTTTTTTTTTTTTTTTTAATTTTTTTTTATTTAATTGCATAGACTCTCCTGATGCTTGGGTAGGGGCTAAGTTGAAACAGTAATAGTGCTGGAGTCTTAACTCTTTAAAAGTTGGCTTTCCTTCTCTGGCCTCGACACTCGAATTATATTGTTTATCCCTGCGTTGTAGTCTGAAGGATTAGAAAAGCAGTTCTAATGCCTTTTTTTTTTAAACACTTATTTATTTTTGAGAGAGCATGAGAGGGGGACGAGCAGAGAGAGGGGACACAGAACCTGAAGCAGGCTCCAGGCTCTGAGCTGTCAGCACAGGGGCTTGAGCCTGCGAACCTCGAGATCATGACCTGAGCTGAAGTCAGAGGCCTAACCAACTGAGCCACCCAAGCGCCCCTAGAAAAGCAGTTCTAAATTAAAGCTCCAGAAATCAACTCTTCCTACTATTATCAGTAAAAGAATGAACCCAGAGAATAGGCCCCTTCTCTCTCCACATTTCAGAGGTGTGTGTTTTCTACCTCCTTTGTAACTTTTCTACTTAGAAATAAAGTCGACTTTGTTTCTTCTTTTCTTGTAGACTCGCTCTTTACTGAGTGTTTTTGAAGAAGATGCTGGCACCCTCACGGATTATACCAACCAGCTGCTCCAGGCAATGCAGCGCGTCTACGGAGCCCAGGTATCCACAGCTGCGCCCTCACCTGGGCGGGGGGAGTAGGAGCCCTCTGCCCTCATCTTGAACTTCTCTCAGGAGGTTGAGGAATTTGAGTCAGAACAACACCGTTTAAAATTTGGAAATAAAATCAGAATTGCTTCCGTTCACTTTCAAAAACCGAGGACAATCTGTTTTCATTGCTTAAGAAAGAGGGTAATTTTCCTGTGACTAGTAAAACCAGTAGAGAAGGACCATGTCACCGGTTTTAGTTTTGTTTTTTGTTTGTTTGTTGTTTTTTTTTTTAATTCAGCCCCACAGGGAAACATTTGAATCTCCTCTTCCTACTTGTGAATGCGGGAGGTCAGTATTCTGAGACATGCTCTTTGTCTTTCTCCTAAATGGGAGTCTTAGATGTCAGTGCAGGCAGCGAGAGAGGCTCTTTTCAAGTGCTTCCTCTGAAAAGACTTGAGTCACACTTGTGAAACTGTTGGGTGGCTTCTTTGTTTTCAGGAACAGATCTCTCTGACTTGCAAAACAACGCAAAATAAATTGCTGAGTAGCAAAAGTGAATCTTTTCAAGATCAAGAAGTGTCCATGTATGTTACTTTCTCAGGGAAGGCTTGGGAATTGCTTAAAATGTTTAGTGTCACACATCAAAATATGGCAGCTGATGCTTTTGACTATTGATTCCTTGCCGACTTAAATCTGTGTGTGTTAATGTTTCTTTTTCTCACTAATGACCTCTAAAGAAATGCCACATTCAGTATATAATATGTATACGTTAATAATAGTGTATAGTCAGTTATTATTATTATATAGCTCTTAACATTCATATATGATGATTTGTTATTGTCATTGTTTTATTAGTGCTTGCCATCAAGTTGCTTACATTTGGGGTGGAGGACAGAGAATACAATTAAGAGTGTTTGCACCACTAGGAAAGGAGGTCACCTAACCTTGAGGAATTGTGCTCAGCACCCAAAGAGAGGATGATGGTGGTCGTTGACATTGACTGAACATTTCAGGACTTTTACATGGATATTTCATTTAAATTCCCCAGCAACTCTGTGAGATGGGCATTGTTGTCATTGTCCTCATTTTATAGTTTAGGAGACTGAAGGATTCCAACGACCAGGACCATGACCAAGTGCACCCTGTTCATACGTGGCAGAGCAAGTCCGCCTGAAGCCAGAGCCCAAACTCTCAGCCACTGAGCATGGGGTGGCCTGAACTAGAAAGTGGCAGTAGAAGTGGAAAGAAGTGGATGAAATTCAGAGGTGTTTAGGAGGCGGGTTGGTGATTGATTGGATGTGAAGGGGTCAGATGTGTAAAGGATGAGTCAGGAATGACGTCCAGGTCTTTGACTTGAACAACAGGGTGGATGGTTGGGAGCACAGAGGAAGAGATGGAAGGGGTGTGTGTGTGTGTCAGGAATGACAGGGATGCCGGTCATAATTCTTTCTTGAAAGGCTGATTTGGGATGTCCAAAGTGGAGAAAGAGCGTGTTGAAAGTTCAGATCTAGAGTTCAGGCTGGAGATACAGAGTTGCAAACTAGACTGTATTATACAAGTGCAACTTAATTGGAACTAATTATAAAACCCAAATAAATCATGTGCTTTTGTGTGATTTTACTTATTTGGCTAAGACATTCAGAAATTGGGGACATATTATTTTGATTTTTTTAAACCCTACTTATTTATATTGTATGTTTTTATATTTTTCTCTACATAGTCAAAATTTAAGAAAATAGGATTTTTTTTTTAAGTTTATTTCTGAGAGAGAGAGAGAGAGCGAGCATGAGCGAGGGAGGAGCAGAGAGAGGGAGACACAGAATCCAAAGCAGGCTCCAGGCTCTAGGCTCTGAGCTGTCAGCACAGAGCCCAATGTGGGGCTCGAACTAGTGAACTGCGAGATCATGACCTGAGCTAAAGTCGGACGCTTAACCGACTGAGCCACTCAGGCACCCCCAAAAATAGGATTTTTTTTAACTGGACTTAACACCTGAACTTGCTGTTCAGTAATTTGAATATCGTCATTAAATGATTTACCTCTTGTAAAGGTTCAGGATCCCGAAGACTTAGGGACTGTGTCTCTGTCACTTCAAGAGTCTCTGTTCTGCCTTTCCACATCTGTCAGAGTCATTTACTTGGAGATGTCCAAATGCTTTCTTTACGTGTTTTTTCTTTTGAGCCAGAAAACTACATTTTGCCAAAATTAAGTGGGTCGTACATTCCAAGAGTCTGTACACTGGCTTTTAATTCACACCACATGATCAGCACACGGGTCCTCTACTGGCCAGAAACGCTTCTTCCTGCCTCGGCATTTCCTGCAGCAGAGGCTCGCGGGAACGGCCAGTCAGTGGTGCCAAACTCAGCGACAGAGCCCAGCAGCGGCTGTCAGCATCCAGATAGTTTGGGTCAGCGTCAGCTGGTTTCCAGGTCTATTTGAACTCTTAGGTGTTTTGTTTTGTTTCTTTTTAATTAAAAAAAAAAAAGAACTTTTCTGACCCTTTGATCAGTTTGTGTGTGTGTGTGTGTGTGTGTGTATACACATGTGGATGATGTGTGTGTGTATAGTAATAACCTATCTGTTTTCATTTAACTTTTTCCCTGAGTTGTGTTTTGTTTAACATTATTCCTTACATATTTTATACCTAGACATGGCGGATTAAATTAATAGGGTTTTATAATCTTTTTAACAACACAGGCACTTAGCAAGATGTTTTTTATTATTTTTTAAAAAACCAGATTTATGCAGCTGATAAAAGATAAATGTTTATGAGAGATACTTTGAATCAGACCAGTTGGTAAATTTCTGTATTCTGCTAGGAGGAATGCCCTTGGACCTCAGTTTCAGAAAGGAAGAGTGAGAAAAACTAGAGGAAAGTTATGTGAACAGTTTTGCTGATTGTCGCTGTTTTGGGGGAAATGTTGAATTTCGACTTAAGCGGTAGAATGAAGCCATGGTCTCTGAGCTGTTCTCAGCAGTTTACACGAGTCCCTGAAGTCACGTCTGGTCTCTTAACTGTCAGACGTGCCTTTGCACATTGTGAGAACTTAGGACCTCATTGTGAGTCATTTGAGTGAAGGAAGCAGCACTAACACAGCAGAGATGGGTTACTTAAAAACATGTGCTGTCCTGCAAACTGTTAGCTAACTACATTGAAAATCTCCATGATGTCTGAATACATGCTCATGTACACGTACTCGGTCAATCTCAAATTTTGCATTTGATACATTTGGTATACAGAATAACATATACAATCAAATAGATCTGCCATAATTTTGTCTCTTTCTTGGAGAGGTTAAAAATTTTTAAATCTTTGGGGTGCCAGGGTGGCTCAGTCGTCGTTTGACTCTTGCTTTCAGCTCAGGTCAGGATCCCACGGTTTGTGAGATCGAGGCCCGAGTTGGACTCTGCACTGACAATACGGACCCTGCGTGGGATTCTCCCTCCCTCTCTCTTTGCCTCCCCCCACAAAAATACAAAACAAAATAGTAGGCTATTAAGTTTTGGGGGAATTAAAAGATTTTGGGCTGCGTGGTGCAGGGTCTGTCCCTCTAACCCCTCCGTTGTTCAAGGGTCCAGAGTATAGAGATATCAAGTTAAGCAACCTAATGTACCTCCTGGGAAACAAAATGAGAGGGGTGGACTTCCAGGAGTGTGAGCTTGTAATAGGGATGGGGATGGATTTGGAAGGCAGGTAGGGTCAGAGCTGCATATTTTAGTAATAGAAATAAATAGTGCTCTCCATTTGTTGGGCACATAAACATACCACACACTAGGCTCAGCATTTCCTTTGTAGAGTCTCATTTAGCTTTCACAAGAAAGGAGCTACTCTAGCATGTGTTTGCAGATCAGTTTACGTAGCTTGCCTAATGTCACAGTGGCACAACTGGAATTTGCACTCGGGTCTTTGACTCCAAAACCCACACTGTCACTCTGAACCACTGCACTGGACTCTTTGGACGTACCGGTCTCCGGAAGTGGCAGCAGAGGCTAAGGAAGTAGGAGCGTTCAGAGGTTGTTCTTGTCATCGTAGAATAACCCCCACTCTAGAGCAGCCGAACCGCTTTGTAGCACGGTGGTCCCCCTTCAGCTGCGGGCTCACTTTCTGAACAGTTTACCTGCAGTCATCGGCAGTCTGGAAGCAAGCGCTCCTCCTCCCGACACTTCACCACAAGGTCACTGGTAGCCTAGTGCTACATCGTTCGCCTCACTTCATCTCCCCTCCTGGGCATCTTATCATCTCACACCACCACAAGGAGGGTGAGTACAGCACGAGGTATTTTGAGAGAGAGAGAGAGAGACCACATTCACGTAGCTTTTATTACAGTATACAGTTGACCCTTGAACAATGCAGGGGCTGGGGTGCTGACCCCCACACCGTTGAAAATCCTCATGTAACTTTTGACTCCTCCCAGATTTAACTAATAGCCCTCTGTTGACCAGAAGCCTTTCAATAACATAAAGAGTCGACTAACACATATTTTGTATGTTGTATGTATCGGATATTGTATGCTTACAATAAAATAATCTAGAGAAAAGAAGATGTTAAGAAAATCACGAGGAGAAAATACATTTACAGCTCTGTATATATTGAAAAAAATCCATGTAAGTTGACCTGCATAGTTCAAACCCATGTTTTTCAAGGGTCAGCTGTATTGTAATTTTTCCATTTTGCTATTAGGTATTGTTAATTTCTCACTGTGCCTAATTTATATATTAAAGCTTTATCGTAAGTACGTACGTGTAGGAAAAAGCATGGCATATGTAGAGTTCATTGCTAGCCACTATTTCAGGCATCCACCGGGGGTCTGGAAGTGTGTCCCCCATGGAAAGGGGGGCCCCCTGTAGTTAGAAGTGGGAGCCAATTCCTTGTTGGATTGGTCTTTATGCATGATTGTTTTTAGTCAGTGCATAGCCCTGAAAAAGTCAAGTTGACGTGGATACGACAGGGACTGAGAAAAAATATGTATGTAGCTTAAGGTGTAAGGGAACAGAGAGCCTGAGTGGTCTCCGA